AAAATATAAGAAGCAAATGTAATAAGCAAATATGAAGAGGAACAAACTATATCGCCTTGTACTTCTTCTTTTTCATTCTTGAATTTAGGCGAATCCCCTACGCAATTGCTGCGTGAGGCTGTCGCTCCATCGTTTCTTTGGGCGCCCAACGTCTCTTCGTCCCAATGGGTCCAATGTCGCGAGAGATTCTCACAAGCCTGCGTTGGTCCATCCTGCTTATGTGCTAATTCTATTCCTTCTTCCTGTTTGCTACCCATTCATTGGTGTTCTTGACATTACAGTCTGTGCTCACATCCTCGCTTCTCGACTCTGATTCGACGGAGTATTTTCATCTCAGCTGTCTCTTGGTTTTCACTCTCCTCGTTTTGTACTGTAATTGTTAAAATGTTGTTGTCTTTGTTGCTTATTCTTCAAATAGTTTCACTCTTCCATCCATTGCCCACTGGTTCATGAGCATCTGTTTTAGTTTAATTTGCCCGTTAACAGCTCTGTGTTACCCAATTTTTATTACTACGAATTGATTAGTATTTGTGTTACCTCCATAAAAAAAATTTTATTGTGTATTTACTGCGAGTTCTATTCTTTTCAGTAAGTATATAAACTTAATCGAATTACCATGGGCGCTATTATATTATAACTGTGTGAGGTGATTTAAATTTTGCTGCTTGGACAAGCGCGTACTATGAGCTTCGCAAGTTTCCTCAAGGTTTTCCTGCTCTTTCTTCTATTCGTTCAAATAAGCCTGTCTACCAATTCAGGCGAGTTATCCGTTGCCAAACCGAGATGGTACTATCTTCGTTGTGTTGAATGTTACCGGCCAGATGCTAAGGGAGAAGCATGTGTGAAGATACCAGGATGCATCAAAAGTACGTAGTACTGTTGAAAATAATATAGATTCAGATTGTACCTTTTCGCTATTCCAGATAGCTCATTTTTCCAAAAACTAATGGCGTCTGGCTGGTTCTGATGGACGGACTCTGTAGCTTAATCTGTAAGCTACATGACTCACTTCCTCCGCGCGTTTATTCGCAAAAAAAAACGGGGAAGAACTTTAATTAAACTTTATTATTATTAACTGGACTGTTATTAAAAGCCTCAGCAGAATGTTCCGATGAGGATATTGCGCAGCGACTGTAATGTGAGCTAATCTTTGCCTTAGCATTTCTCCAATAACAGCGGAGGCCAGCATGTCATGCATTCCATCCAGCAGGAGGGAAAAGTTACAAGTGATCACAAAAACAATAAAAAAGGTCATTCTCAAGAGGAAAGTTGACATTAAGCAAGTTCAATGAAGGTCAATGAAGGAAAAACTTGGTTCAGCAAGCTGATCCGATATCTGGCAGGATATCCGTGACGATTTTGGAAAGTGGAATGATGTCTTGGGAATCAGGGGTGGGTTTTAGGTCAACCATGATTCAGCTGAAACACATGCGAAGTGGAAGCATGCGCAAATCGGTTTTAGCTGGGAAAATTCACTAAACTATTGTTACAAGTTTTACCAATTTTTTCTTTCACTCACCTATTAGATGCGAGTTAATTTAATTTATTGTCTGAGATTGAAACACTGAATTATACGCATTTCAGGAAACCACAGGAGAAATCAATCAAAATTCGATCAATGCGTTTTAGTTTACAGTATGAATATCAAGGATTTAAGAACAGTTGATCCCAACTAATTGTTTTTGCAGTTGATTTTAATGGAAGGTTTGATCGTGTGCTGTAAGCGGAGGAGCGATTTTCTAAAGCTAAAAGCAAATGCATAGAAGCTTAAATTTCTATTGAGTAAAATATGTAACTCATAAATTAGCACATGCATTTGTAAACGTTAAACTTTGCGCCTGAAAGAATTTTTTGGTTCAGTGCTTGAGCTTTCCAGTCTCCAACTAGTCAACTGTAAGAAGACTTTTTGGCGATCGGTTTTTTAAAAGTACACATGTTACAATGAGATTGAGGTTGAATTGGTTATAGGCTAGTTTTGAAAAAAGTAATTAAATCTACTTGTAACTGAGATTAACCTTAAAATGAAGAAGAAACTTTTGGATCTTTGAACTTCAAAAAGCAAAGTTTTGAACTGCGCTTAATTGGTATGAAACATTGCGAAAGTATGATAATGTTAAAACTGTGAGAGTCAAAGGCGTAACTGCGAAAGTCAACCGCGCTGAACTTCCTTCATTTGGAAGCTTGGGCTTTCATTTATGTATGAAGAAAGTATGTAACCTTTTTCTTTAACTTTACTTTTCTAGACTACTTTAAAGCAAATTTACAACTGTGAGTATGAGGCGCAATATGATAATTCAGCGACGTTGAACGTTTTTAATTGAACTGTTTGATCGCATTTATTTCTGGAGAAAACTATGAAGACTTTTTTCGAAAACCTGACACTCAAAAGTCGACTTACGCTCAATTATATTAAAAAATATCCATATCTTGCTAGTTAGCCGACAACTATATTTTCCACCCCACAACATAGCCGTGTAGAGTTTGAACTTTCAAAAATTAAACCTGCTATTAAATTCAATTTTACCGAAAAACTGCAAACGCAAATATATAACTTGTGTGTATATATAAACTGTGTGTGGTCCAAGGCGCAAATTTGGAACTCAATTGCGATAAATTTCTACAATTGCAGTTTTAGATTTCATTTATTTATGAAAGTCTCACGAGTTTTTAGCGAAAAACGCATTCTAAAGTTCAGTTTCACTCAATTATATTTTAAAAAATACTATTTCGTTGGTTGGTGGAAAACTGTATTTTCCGAAGCACAAAATGTGAGTTTGGAGTTTGAGCTTCCTACAATAATGTCTCTAATTTAAGTTAATGCTAAAAGAAAGTTGCAAAGGTATTGCAAAATATCCTATTCAACTTCCAGCATTGGATCGGTTGCGTTGCAAATTGTTGTTAAAAACACTTTTTAATATAGAAAAAACATTTAAA